GTCCCGGACTAGAAAGCAATAGATTTCTTGCTTCTTCCACAAATTTCCCCAGCTGTGAGCCTTCCAACCTTCTAAATATTCCTTTTTATGTGGTTCAGAGTTCTGGGACCATCCCTGAGCCTGCTTAGTCAGGTATTCTGTGTTGTTTTTGGTGGAGCTCTCTGCTACACGTCTACCCGATCCGCCATCTTGTTTGTTCTACCCAGATATGTTGTTTTTGTTTGGTGCTTTTGAGTTGGTTCTGACTCATAACGACTCTGTATAGGGTTTTTAAGGCTTTAAATCTTTAAGGGATCAAAAAAACCTCATCATTCTCTTAAGCAGAGGCTGGTGAGCTCAAACCATGGACCTTGTGGTTCACAGTTCAGTGCTTATCATATAGAAATATTAAAAGTAAAACAGTTCTACATGAGGTGAGACATTCCTTCTCGAAAGGACAAGCAAACCGGCCTGGAACAGCTAGAGCAACAGAAGATACTTCTTGAAAGAAAGATCAGCAGGAAAAATCCAAAACAGAAATGGCAGTCTGATAAGCTACTACAAGAACAAGCAAGTTGTTCACCAGGGAACCATCAAGGCAAGCAATCAAGTCCCTTCAAAATAAACCCCCTCAAAGACTGAAACTCAAAGGGAACACATGAGCAGGCATGTAAGGTTGCTGGTGACCATATTGGTCTAGTGGTGAGTGGAAGAGGGGGAAAGGCAATGAAGATATGGGCTGAGTTCGACCATGTTCCATAGACTCCTGTTGACCTGGAGATGAGAGTGAGAAGAGGAAGGGATAGTTGGTCCAAAGTATGGTGAAACCTGGGGACTCCTGAGCTCCTGGACAAGGACATAGCCATGGAGGACTAGAGCTGAGATTGAAGCATCCAGCTGATATGAAATGAGGGGAGACACACAAGAACACCCAAACTTGCAGGTAGTACCTATTTGACTTAGCCTTAATGGCTTGCTGATCAAAAATCGACTAGAAAAAGATTTTTTAATTTTTGGTAAAGGAAACAATTGTAAATTGCTACAGTTTGATGAACTTTATCTATACATATGGATGTTGTAGCTCAAAATACCAACAGAGAGGGAAGGAGTCTTCATATCAATTATCAATCCTATACAGGGTTGATAGGACAACCAACTTAGACATTGGCTACCTAAAATGAGGGGGTGATAAAGGCACAAAGTGGCTGGCTTACACATTTTTAAGAGAGAGTTTAGTTTCAGAGTGTGCGGGGGAAGGTAGAATTCCCACTGAATAGTTTTCATCTTGTCTAGACAGGTCTGGTAAAAGGAGATGGGAGTAAGATTCTTATGATTCAATAGTGAGTAATTGTTATCATGACTAATTGAGACTGTCACAACTGTAAAGGTAGAAGTTTTGTAACTAAAAGGGGGGAGTAGTTAATCTTACATCCCAAGAACAGAGGATCCTAGGACCATCAAGGGAGAAGAGCATAAGCAGAATGTGAAACCCTATCCAAAGAAGCAGCAACACCAGTGATGGAGGCTGAGATGATGACATGAAGAGACAGCAGCTGAGGACTATAGACTCATGGAAAGAGAAGAGTGAGTACTGGTGGCCAGGAGGCAAGCTTACAGAATGTGCCCTTTAAAAATTGTTAGGAAAACAAACAAGATGGTGAATTGGGTAGACGTGTAGCAGAGAGCTGGTGGCCAGGAGGCAGACTTGCAGAATGTGCCCTTTGGAGATGTAATTTATTATATATGCCTGAGTGGGGTTTTTCGTTTGTGTGTTTTTTTAAAAAAAGCTAAAGTGGATAAAGAGAAGTACTTTTAACTGATGGTATATGGAGGGGATTATAATCAATGTAATGAAACAAGTTATATGAATTGTTGAATGTGAAACTGATGATGTGCCCTGTAAACTTTCACTCAATCCACAATAAAAACCTTAAATTAAAAAAAAAAAAAAAGAAAGGATAAAAACCTTTTCTGATCTGATTTTAAACCACACACACACAAAAAAAAACTGTTATATTTCCTGAGTGTATTTGTATACCTAACCACTGCCCCCCCCAAAACACAAAAAAACAAAACAGAGGGAATAGAAGCAAATACTGTTGAATGATGATGCATGGAGGAGATTGCAATCATTGCAATGAAATGATGAGTGTAAAACCGATGTTCTCCCATGTATGCTATCACTAAATTCACAACAAAAACTTAAAAAAAAAAACAAACACCAGATCCACAAGACTGAAAATAAGGAACCAGAGATAACAATTTGTCTACGACAAAGCACAAAAAGGAAACAGTATAGATACAGAACTTCCAAAAAGCAACTTCCAAAAAGTAGATATCAAGATAAAACAGACTGTTTAAAATAGGGAAAAATATTAATGTGTTGCAGAGTAATCTTAAAGAAAATGAATATACCTGCACAGCAAAATAAAGCTAGAGGAAAATCAGAAAGATTTAGTAAGCATTAACACAACAAAATTGAAAATATAAAGAAAACCCACACACAAAGTAACCCAGTGAAGAAAATAATGTGGAACAAAGACACTAGCATCACAAAAAAAAAAAACACACAGCAAAAAAACAGCAATCAATTCATATCTATCCATAATTATGCTGAATGTAAATGGATTAAATGCACCAGTCAAGAAACAGAAAGAGCAGAATGGATAAGAAAACAGGATCCTTCAATATGCTGTCTGCAAGAGACTTATCAAAAAGATGGAGACAGTCTAAATGCACATCAGCAGAAGAACAGTTGAACAAACATTGGTACATACACATAAAATGAATTCTACACAATGTTGAAGAATAACGATGAATCTGCGAAACACCTCACAACATGGATGATCCTGGAGGACATTATGCTGAGTGAAATTGTTGTTTTTATGTGCCATGGAGTTGGTTCCGACTCATAGCGACCCTATACAGGGTTTCCGAGGCCGTAAATCTTTATGGGAGCAGAAAGCCTCATCTTTCTCCGGCGGAACAGCTGGTAGTTTCAAACTGCTGAACTTGCAGTTTGTAGCCGGATTCATAACCACTATGCTACCAGAGCTCCTAGTGAGTCACAAAAGGATAAATATTATATGAGACCAATGTTGTAAACAGTTAAAAGAAAGTTTTCTTGATAAAAGAAACAATCTATGATGGCTATGGGGCTGGGGTGGGGAGGGAAAGTTATTCACAGAGGGTAGACACATGTTAATATGGTGACAGGGCAGGCAACATACAACAAGGGGAAAGTTAGCAGGGAAAAGATGAAGGTAGCACGAGACACCGGGAGGAATGCAATATTAAAGTGACTAGGGTCAGCAGTTCGAAACTACCAGCCACTCCGTGGGAGAAAGATGAGGCTTTCTGCTCTCGTAAAGATTTATAGCCTCAGAAACTCTGTACAGGGTCGCTATGAGTCGGAACCGACGCCACGGCACATAACAACAACAGCAGAGGTAAATACTGTTAACTGTTGGTACATGGAGGGGATTGCAATCATTGCAAAGAAGGAAAGTATATGATTTATTGAATGTAAAACTGATGATGTGATCTGTAAACCTCCATTCAACTCACAATTAAAAACGAAAAATTTAAATAACCAGACAGTTAAGGACAGGGAATCATTCTTCCAAGTAAACAAATGATGTCACTGGGAAAAGAAGGTCCGTTGGAATCCCGTGTCTGGCAGTTACAGGAGGAGCTGTGAGTGGGCAGAGGGTGTCCAGCAGCCACCTTGGGACCCTAACCCCAGAGCAACCAACATCGTGTGTCCAGGCTTGTGTACCTAAGACACTGGGCATCTCTGTAATTGTCAGAGTGATCCACAATGGAGAAGGATGACTCCCTACAGTTGGTGATGCCTGCGTCAGTGAAAGCCATCATCTCGAGGATTGAGGCTGCCCAGCTGACTCGGGCTCAGGAGGTAGCCCCTAAGACGAGGGCAGCATCCTTCTATTAGGGTCTTATATGGAGACTGGGGAGGGAATCCCAGGACCAGGCAAAATTCCAGCCCTGGGTCCGCAGGGATCCTGGCATAGTTGGCAAAACCTAGGTTTGCAGACAAAATATTCCCTCCTAGACTTGGCCTCTCTGGGACTGCAGGACTGAGCTGTGGTTAAACAACCACCATAGAACTAGGGCTGGGACCAGGAAAAGAACAGACCACAGGAAGGGTCAAGGAGCCAGGGGAGGGTGCAGGAAGCTCCAAGATTGTCCTGGGGCTCATAGTGATGGTACCAAGGAGAGAGGAGGAAGGGCCAAGAGCTCTGTTCTTGGTGACCTGTCTGATACCCTCTAAGTTGGGCCTTGGAAGCTCAAAGGGGTCAAGCCTCTAGTGAATTTTTTATTGAAGCCTCTGACCCTCAGGGTTTCTTGGGTCCTCATTTTCCCAATCTTCTGCCCAGAAGTCACCATCAAGTTCTAAAATTCTGAAGAAATGCTTTCTATAGATTTTTAATATTTTTTCCCTTCTTGACCTGGTCCTAAATAATAATAAAAAAGTTATTATTATTATCATCTAATAATTTATACTAAGTGCCAGACATGGCTCTAAGGACTTCATAAATATTAATCTGTGTAATCCTTACAAAAACCCTGTGGCTTAAGTGTTATAATGATTTCCATCTACAAATAAGAGGCCCAAAGAGGCAAAGTGACTTATCTAAGGTCATACCACTAGCAGGCAGCTCTGACTCCATCACACTCCCCAACACTACGATCTGCTGCTTCCCACACAGGATATTTCTAACCAGCTCTCAGACATCTTGAACAATGTCAATTGTGTCGTCAACCACTTCCAAGAGGAACTAGGACATGATTTAAAAGAAAAGGCAAAATCTTATCAGACCGAGCAAAAGGGCAAGAACAGATTCATATTGCTGGAGAAGATTTCCTCCTTCTCCAAAGATGCTAAGACTAAAGAGAAGTACCTGTATGAGATTCTCCGCTGGCTGAGTGACTGGGGTGAGCTTGCAGGCTGGGTGCAATCCTGGGTGGGTGCCTTCCTTTCTGTGTTGCTGGTCCCAGCTCAGTCTCCTGCTTTCCTCACCCTATGTCAATATTCTCGAGAAGAGGAGGAGTGTAGGGGCAGGGGAGTACAGAACACGTTGCAGAACCCCTTCCCCAGTAGAACATTCCTCACAGGTCACTGCACATCATACCCACTTCCTGGGGGGACAAACATGCAGTTGTCTGAAACGAGATCCATTGTGACATTAGCTGCACATATGATGACATCATGGGTCAGTTATATCATCTTTCTTTCTTAGCAAAACCAAAAAGGAAAAAAACCCCAAAACCTCAAACCCTTTGCCTTTCAGTTGATTCGGACTCATGGCCACCTCATGTGGTCTATAACAGAACTACCCCATAGGGTTTTCTTAGCTGTCATCTTTACAGAAGCAGATCACCAGGGCTTTGTTCTGTGTACCACTGGGTAGGTTAGAATTCTGATCTTTAGGTTTGCAGTTGAGTTCAAAACCATTTGTATCAACTAGGGACCTTTTAGAGGAACCCAGCAGTGATATCCAAATCACTGAATGACCATAACTGCATGGGCACTGGGCCAAACAGACCTGAAGGCTAGCTGTAAGCAACTGGCACATCAGCCGTATAGGTGTGCACTTGCTAGATACAGTCCTGGGGCTGGTGCTCCCACCTGTTTAAATTGGTGATCCCATCATGAGACTCCAGGCTGCTGTGAGGGCTGGTGGGTGCTTCAGTGTTAGAGGGGGAGCACTGAGGAAGAATGAGCAGCCCCAGGAAGCTCTCAGCTGTCCCCAGGAAAACCACAGGAGATACTATCTACACATAAGACAGACACATCCCTGCTCCAGTGGTAGTGGCGTCGTTAGGTTCCCTTGAATTGATTCAGCTCATACAGAACCCCTGTGGCAGAGTAGAACTGCCCTGTAGTGTTTTCTTAGCTATAATCTTTACAGACGCACATTGCCAGGTCTCTAACCCATGGAGTCTCTGGGTGGGTTCATTTCACATATATTGTCTCATTTAGTCATCACCCTTTACATAGATTTATAAGGAGGCTGCTAACTGCAAGGCTGGTGGTTCAAACCCACAATCTGCTCCACAGCAGAAAGATGAGGCTGTTGCTCACCTCCCAGGAAGATTTACAGTCTCAGAGCAGCTTTGGGATCTAAGCCCATGGACTATGTAAGGCTGTGTGCCTGTGGCAGAATGTGCCCTTTGGACATTTAAATGAATATGTATCTTTTTGTTTGGTATGTGCACATCAAATATTTTTGCTTTGTTCTATTGTGAAGCAAAAGATGTAAATGAGCCACAAGGAAGAAGTAGGATAATTGTTGTTGTAAGGAGGGCATTGTAATCATTGAGATGAGACAAAGCTTATAATTTGTTGAATGTAAAGCTGAAGATCTTGTCTGTAAAGCTTCACTCAGTTCACAATAAAAAGTTAAAAAAAAAAAAAAAAAAGATTTACAGCCTGAGAAACCCTAAGGAGCAGTTCTGCTGTGTCCTCTAGGATAGCTGGGTCAGAACTGACTCAACAGCGTGGGTTTGGCTTTTGACTGAGGCTCAGGGAAATAAGTAACATGCCCAACATCACATAGTTAGTAAGAGGTGAAACCAAGCCGATGTCAAAGCTTACTGGCATCACCTCTGTGCTAGAGGGCTGCTTGGGGCTCCCTAGAGGACAGACTGTTCTCAGCCTGAACCTCCCACTCCTTTTCCAGGTGACAGTCTGACCTATGAGATCAGGAGAAGGAAGAGTGAGAAGGAAGAGGAAGCCCTGGACGAGTGGATCGAGGTGATGGAGAAAGTACTGCCTCTCTCCCTCATTGCCAACAAAGGAGGCATCGAGACTCTCATTTCCCTTTGCTCAACTCTTATTGAAGAACAAAAGAAAAAGACGCAAAGTAGGTTCTAGGAACATCCAGGAGGGAGGTGGGTGAGGGCAGGGTGGATGCTATGTCAGGGAGGAAGTCACACACCTGGGTCTACGGAGGTCTTTCCAACCTTCCTCCATAGCAAAAGCCTTACCTGAGAGGGGTGGGAGTGGTAAGAGGGCAGGGTGTTGAAGTTAATCTCAGCACTGAACAGTTCTGAGCTGTCCATCAGGGCTGGAAGTGGGGTGATGTGAAGACAGGATCCTGTGAGAGTTCCCAGGGGCTGTGGCTTCATGGGGTTTGAGAGAACAAGGCTAGAAGAGCAGGAATGCTAGCGTTGGTGGCTAGAACCTAAGAAACATTCTTCACTCCAAACTCAGCTATCGCACCCAGAAGTGATGAGGTTCAGCCAAACATCCTTCCAGAATCTTCTAATTGTGGCTTTTCCATAGTCAATCAGTCAGCAATATGACTGAATCTTGGAACTTTATTCCTATTAGTCTTCAGAAGGATCTGAGATTATCCAACTCCTCAATTCTGGAGATGAAAAAAATGGATGGTTAGAGAAGGGACCACAAAGAAAGCTACCCCACACATAACATTTTCTGGTTTCTTAATCTTACTCAAGTACATGGGTTTTAGAGTCAGACAGGCCTGGTTTTAATCCTATCTCTGACAATTGCTAACTGTGTAACTTTGGGCAAATTATTTAATCTTTTTGAGCCTTGGTTTCCTCATATGTAAAATGAGGAGGATACTGTTCACCTGCAGGGCTGTAGGGAAGCTTCAACAAAGTGAGAGGCATGAGACACGATCCTCGGAACATGCTCAAGGCTTAATAAGCAATAGCTAGACAAGGAGCTCTGGTAG